TTTCCAAGCACGCAATGCTTCACGTGATGTATTAATCCGATACGCGGCCGTGGTGTATTGACATACATGTTTCCAAACACGCAATGCTTCACGTGATGTATTAATCCGATACACGGCCGTGGTATATTGACATACATGTTTCCAAACACGCAATGCTTCACGTGATGTATTAATCCGATACGTGGCCGTGGTGTATTGAAATACATGTTTCCAAACACGCAATGCTTCACGTGATGTATTAATCCGATACGCGGCCGTGGTGTATTGACATACATGTTTCCAAACACGCAATGCTTCACGTGATGTATTAATCCGATACGCGGCCGTGGTGTATTGACATACATGTTTCCAAACACGCAATGCTTCACGTGATGTATTAATCCGATACGCGGCCGTGGTGTATTGACATACATGTTTCCAAATACGCAATGCTTCACGTGATGTATTATACATCCAATTACACATTATAGCTGTAATGATTTCAGTCAACAAAGTAAGAAGCCGGCAAAACCATGTTGTCCAGTAAAGGTGAACTACTTCTCAGAACAGAATAAAAAATTACATGCTAGTAGTAATACATGTAGCAGTTATTTGTGACGTCATGGTGGCAGTTGGTGTAACTTGGACTATGGTATTATTTATTTAGGTTGGCATATGTGGACGTACGGGAAGTGGTAAAACGTCACTGGCAATGTCGTTGTTTAGAATGGTCGATATAATTGAAGGTAGGTTGCAAACAAAAGAGTTCCTTCACTGATACGCTAATAATGAGTGACTGTGGGTCAAAGATTGTACAGCTATTTGTTGTCTTGTTTTAACTCCAGGTTGTGTTATCATTGACGACGTGGACATCGCTACGGTTCCATTGGTAACACTGCGAAACAGATTGTCAATTATCCCACAGGACCCTAGCCTATTACAGGGCACCATCCGGTAAGTAACATTATACGGGGTACCTACCAATAAGTGACGGCATACACGGCACGATTGGTGATGTCAAACAGGGCATCGTCCAGTAAGTGATGTCATACAGGACACCATTCTGTAAGTGACGTCATGCAAAGCATTGTTCGGTAAGTGACGTCCTGTAAGATACCATATTCACCAATAAGCATTACATGATGTCATACAATCACTAATAATAAAAACAATGCAAGGATATATTTCTCAAACCGTATTTTTCATTGGTTGCTAGCTTTAACCTGGATCCTGAAAACGCCAGATCGGATGCAGAATTGTGGGAAGCTTTGGAAATTGCACAAATGAAAGGAGATGTAGCTGATTTGGAGAAACAACTAGGTGGGTGTAAAAGTTCACTTACCAACGTCAGGTCGTTAAAATAAAGTAGATTACGAGTGATGCACCTTAAGTTGCGCCCTCTAGCGATGAAAACGTGTTGTGGTTGTTAAAAAATGCTCGTATCCAGCCATTCGAAACAAATACGCTGAATCACAGTCCCTCTATCCCTGTGGCTGAATGAATGTTTTCAATGAGAGAGCAGACAGAAAATATTTGTTGGTGCAAATAAAGCAAGGATGCAGAAATTATTTTGCTAAAGCAAAGCTTTGACTTGAACCGAATTTTTCGCGATTCGTTTATTGGGTTTTAATCCTGGATGAATAGAATTATGCTCTAATAAGTTTACCTATAAGCTCACAGCGGCATCCATTATTTGAAAGTTGAGTATCTTCACGGTCGTTACCCCAAATTTGTTATTTGCTATAACATTGTGTTGTTTTACTCTTACCAGACTCACAGGTTTCTGATGAAGGTGACAACTTCAGCATTGGACAGAGACAGTTGTTATGCCTGGCAAGGGCTTTCCTGAAAAAAACACGAATACTTATAATGGATGAAGCCACTGCTTCCATCGATACCACAACGGTAAGTGGTCAATATCTTCATTGTATGTCAAACGATAAGTAGTGAACTGCCATACTGTATATCACAACCGCGCTGTGTCGTAAATATTGATCTATCCTGGAACGAGATGATGTGATTATAACTTCTTTTTATTGTCATTGTGAATTAGACGCTGTCATACGAAATGTTATCGCTATAGCCTTTGCAGATAGGACTGTCATAACAATAGCCGTAAGTATGATGAAAACAATAGCCATGAGTATGATGATAA